AAGCAAAAACAAAACAAAACAAAACAAACCACAAACATATTCCCAGCACAATGTCCTGAGGTGTACAGAGGTGCACTGACTCATATCATTCTCCCCTTTGCTGCCGGAGAGACGTGTGACCAATCACACAGGCATCAGCAGGAGAGGGTTGTCGGCTTGAGAGGCAAATTGTTAGAACTGGAGACATTAGAAAACGGAGGTTTCACTGTATTACCAAAGTGACACGTATCTTGACGAAAAAAGTTAAACATTCTAGACCTAAAATTTACTTTAGTCTCTCAACTCTCTACAGGTAAGAGAATTGTTTAAGAACCAGGAGGGCACACGCCAGTACCTTCTTCGGCTGTGGCCAGAGGAAAAATCCGGAAAGAAAAAGCCACATGTCCTGAAATACATTGTCAGCGTTGTTCATTCCTGGGGCTGGCACTATGGCAAATCAAGAAGCCCTAGGTGAGGAGCCACCTCCCATTTGCCCAGGGGGACTTCAGAATGCCTAAGATTATGATGAATATATTTTTCCTGTTTCTGTGTTTTTTCTCCGTTTTCTCAATATACTTTGGGTATGCATTGGAGTGGATAGCTTGTCTTTGTGCCTGAAAGTTCTTCCAGCAGAGAGAAGCTCTACAGCATGTAATTTGGTTCACAGGTCTTGGGCTTTGAACCTCTTTTTACTTCTAAAAGAGTCATTTGAGTGCTTTGGGGAAGGAGTCATTGTGTAGTTTGTGCAGTATAGAATGAATAGCATGGTAGGTTCTATTATTGATAATATTATTTATTATCATTCATTCCCTCCCCATATTTGCCATGCTTTCTGACACCCCTGACTTAGGGCTTGACCATGTGGCACACTTTTGCAAATTTGAAATAAACAATTGTGACTTTCAACACATCTGAATACAGGTTTAACTGCAACTGAATGACTTGATTGGGGTTCTCTGGCTCTAGTGTTTCCCCAGATAGAAGCCCCTCCTCCAGATGGGACTTGGGTTGAGAAGACAAGACCAACTCATCCAGAGTAGAGCCCACCAGGGCCCCCACGGACCTGCCAACTGATGTAATGTGTGTGAGAAATGAGTTGTTAGACACTGAGGTCCTTCAACATTGTTCTTAATACATATTTCAATTTATTTTAAACTGTACTACGATAAGAGTATTGTTATAATATAATTCTGTGATAAAAACAGGGTAAAGCTCTGGCCGGTTTGACTCAGTGGTTAGAGCGTCGGCCTGCAGTCCCTAGAGACCCGGATTCAGTTCCCATTAAAGGCATGTACCTTGGTTGCAGTTTGTCCCCAGCCCTGCTTGGGTCATGCGGGTGGCAGCCACTTGATGTGTCCCTTTCACATCGATGTTTCTCTCTCTCTCTTCCTCTCCCTCCCTCCCACTCTATCTGAATAACAACAACAACAACAACAAAAAAACAGAGTACACATTTGTATGTACAGAATGGTCTTGATTATACAGAAAAGTATTTTTAGAGCCATCTGTATTTATTACATGAGGAAAGAACACTGAAATGTAAACAATGGTTATTTTTAAATAGTAGATTTAAGAGAGATTTGGGGCTTTGTACTGGGAAGCTCTAGATTCAGCTCCTTGTTCAGCCATGTGATTTCGAAGTAAACAATTTAACTTGTGTTCCTTAACCATACCTGTGTCTACATCATGGGGATATTGTGGGATCAGGTAAGATACAACTATGTAGGTGTTAATATGTGTAAGTAAATTAGCACAGTATTTTAGAGTGAGCTGTAAATAAATATTAGGTATAATGAGTATTTTGATATTGTTGCTGTGTTAATTTTCCAAATTTTTAAAATTTCTCCCCTAAGGATATGCTTGCTAATTAGAGAGAGAGAGAGATTTATCAGCCTCCTATACACTCCCTGTCAGCAGATGGAACTCACTACTAGGGCATGTGTCTTGACCGGAAATCAAACTTCAAACCCTTCATGTATGGGATAACATTCCAACCAACTGAGCCACGTTAGTCTGGCCTCAGTTTTTAAAAATTTTTATACTGATATATGTTATTTTTAGTCCTGAAAGAAATCATCAAAATCATAAAGGTAGAAAAATTAAACTGCCAAGTTCTGATATAACAACATAATAAAATGCTAACCAGCCTGGCAGATGTTGAGGAATGGTGGCACATCAAAAAGAACAGCAAGCAGCTAGCAGACAACTGCAGAGCGGAACTGGCTGGAGTTGTTCTGATTAATCATATATGGTCATCTAGAAACTGACTGATTAAACTGTGTATTGTAAAGAAGTTGATAGTGACCTAGAAATGAGAAAAGGCACAAAGGAGTCAATGCAAAAGGCACTTCCCTCTGGAAACCTAAGAGCATCTTTTCACCCAGTGAGATGCAGTTTGATGAAGTCCTATCTCATGTGCAAAAAATAGCTAATAAACCCTGATGCCTGCAGAGAGGGAACATGCGGAAATGGAAGCTTTTACACCCCTTTAATGGGGAACAGCCCGGAGACTAACTTTTCAGTGGAGTTAGTGGGTCTCTTAGGTACAGATACTTCTAAGGGCTCTAGGATCAGAAGTGTGTTCTGAGGTCAAGATTTCCAGAAACTTGCTGGATCAGCATCAAATAAGAGAGACTCAGACTGTTTTTACAAGAACCAGAATCATATTATACATATGTTCAGAAACTAAAGATTGTGGTAGAGTAGCAAACATTGATATTCATAGATTATTTTCATAATGCAATGGAATCAAGAACAAACACTATATTTTTATTGATGATAGTATAACTAGGCACTGTGAATAGAATGCTCAACAAAGAGTAATAAAACTGCTTAATTTTTCTCCTAAATTACACTGTGACATTGTATGAGATGTTCACCATGTTGGCATATCAAATGCTTCATTTATGTAAAATTATGAATGTATTACATGATCTTTTCTTTCCCTTCTCTTTCTAACCTTTTTTTTTTTTTTAATCCTCATTTGAGAACATTTTTCTGTTTTTTTTTTTGTTGTTGTTGTTGTTCAGATAGACTGGAAGGGAAAGAGAGGAAGAGAGAGAGAAACATCGATGTGAAGGGACACATCGAGTGGCTGCCACCCACACGACCCAACCAGGGCCGGGGACAAACTGCAACCGAGGTACGTGCCCTTAGCGGGAACCGAACCCAGGTCTCTCTGGACCGCAGGCCGATCCTCTAACCACTGAGCCAAACCGGCCAGGGCCTAACCTTTTTTTATATTGTTTAATTTCTTCACTTCTTGACACAGAGGCATATTTTACTTAACATTAATATAACTACAGATAATGGATGTTTAAAAACAGGTACTTTCAAAATTGAAGTATAATATTAAACATAGTATACAAGTCATACGAATGCAACCCAATCAGTTTTCCTAGGTGCACAACTGTGTAAACATCATTCAATCCAAGATGAACATTACCAGCGACCCACAAGTTATCCTGTTGCCACTGAGTCATGACCTTTTCCTGTGTGTTTCTCCCACATGGGTAGTTGGGCTCCTTCTCAAGACGGCAGGACTTCAGCATGGGTGTTTCAGGGAGCATGGGTGTTTCAGGGAGCATGGGTGTTTCAGGGAGCATGGCTGTTTCAGGGAGCATGGCTGTTTCAGGGAGCATGGGTGTTTCAGAGAGCATGGGTGTTTCAGGGAGCATGGGTGTTTCAGGGAGCATGGGTGTTTCAGGGAGCATGGATGTTTCAGGGAGCATGGGTGTTTCAGGGAGCATGGGTGTTTCAGGGAGCAAGGTGGGACTGACCTTGGGGATCACACCTCCTCACATGCGTCACATTCTTTTGGTCTCAAGTAAGTCAGAAACCCACCCAGATGGAAGGGAAAACGATTTACATTCCATATTTGAAGGAGGTGTTGAGTTTCTAGAACAGAGAAGGCCACATAGTACTTTTTAAAAATAATTCAAAATAAGCCACTAGATACTGGAGTGAGAAAATCATTAGGGGGTTTTGCACAGTTTCAGTAGAAAAGTGGGAAGAGAAGTCAAATTTGCTAGTCAATTTCTAGGCCTAATTATTTTGCTTCAGCCTATATTCCATATCACTTGTAGAATCAGTTTATACTGATATATAATTACAAGCGCTAAAACTGCTCTTTAGGAATTCCCCGAGAGTTAGATGAAGTCAATGACACAAAAAGCACTCTAAATTTTAACATTTAAAATTTAAAATATTTAAAAATAAATGTACATTTAAAATAAATTCCTAAATATTTTCAAATTTGAATTGAACTATTTTCTCATAATAGTCCCAGAATGAACCATTGAAAGACCATGCTGTGTGTATCTGGGAAAAAGTATATAGGACAGCAAACAGGTATTTTGATAAAACTACTTGGTTATAGTAGTTTTGCCTCTAAAAAAAAGTCACTTCTCAGTGAGGGAGATCAGATTACTGTCAAGATATTTTAATAATAATTTGTATCAGAAGACAATGAATAACACCTTTAATATTCTAGGGGGAAAAGTGTGAGCCAAGAAGGTTTTATCCAACTAACTTCCAAGCTGAAGACCCTGCGAACTGTTATGACTATACCGCGCTTCAGCGCCGCCTGCCGGCAAGCAGCAGGCAGAGGCCGCTGGCCGCGTGGGCGGAAGGCTGGCTGCTGCCCGAGGCCCAGCTGCGCTCCATTCGGATCGCCAGCCGGTTCGTCGGCGCCCGAGGCCAACTGTGGACACCCAGGAGGATGTCCAACCCCCAAAGCAGCAGCCAGTAATATATATCTCTGGAGACTGTCACACAGAAAATGAAATAAATCCAGGGATCCAATCAGATGCAGAGAATGTGGATACAGAATAATGTACAAAAAAGGGCTAAAAGATTGGTGGTTTTTGACACTCGATGAAACATGGAATTCAGAAGAATATCTTCGCATTTGGATTTGTTGTTAATGTTGTATAGCTTTTGATTAGAGTGCTTATTTTTATACACATGCACACACACACAAGTACGAGTCCCTCGCCACTTTGCGCTTCCACTCGGCGGCTTCATCCTCTGGTGGTGTAGGTGGTGCGCTTCGTTCTCTGGTGGTGTAGGTGGTGCGGCTTCGTCCTCTGGTGGTGTAGGTGGTGCGGCTTCATCCTCTGGTGGTGTAGGTGGCGCGGCTTCATCCTCTGGTGGTGTAGGTGGCGCGGCTTCATCCTCTGGTGGTGTAGGGGGCGCGGCTTCGTTCTCTGGTGGTGTAGGTGGCGCGGCTTCGTTCTCTGGTGGTGTAGGTGGCGCGGCTTCGTCCTCTGGTGGTGTAGGTGGCGCGGCTTCATCCTCTGGTGGTGTAGGTGGCGCGGCTTCGTCCTCTGGTGGTGTAGGTGGCGCGGCTTCGTCCTCTGGTGGTGTAGGTGGCGCGGCTTCGTCCTCTGGTGGTGTAGGTGGTGCGCTTCGTTCTCTGGTGGTGTAGGTGGTGCGCTTCGTTCTCTGGTGGTGTAGGTGGCGCGGCTTCGTTCTCTGGTGGTGTAGGTGGCGCGGCTTCGTTCTATGGGGGTAGGTTGGCGCGGCTTCGTTCTACTGGTGGTGTAGGTGGTGCGCTTCGTTCTCTTTGGTGTGGGTGGTGGTTCGTCTTTGGTGGTGTCTGTGTGCGCTTTCGTTCTCTGGTGGTGTAGGTGGCGCGGCTTCGTTCTCTGGTGGTGTAGGGGGCGCGGCTTCGTTCTCTGGTGGTGTAGGTGGTGCGCTTCGTCCTCTGGTGGTGTAGGTGGCGCGGCTTCGTCCTCTGGTGGTGTAGGTGGCGCGGCTTCGTTCTCTGGTGGTGTAGGTGGCGCGGCTTCATCCTCTGGTGGTGTAGGTGGCGCGGCTTCATCCTCTGGTGGTGTAGGTGGTGCAGCTTCATCCTCTGGTGGTGTAGGTGGTGCGGCTTCATCCTCTGGTGGTGTAGGTGGCGCGGCTTCGTTCTCTGGTGGTGTAGGTGGTGCCTGCGTTCAGCGGCTGTAGGTCTGGATTCAGACTGAGACTCAAGATCCAGGGAGCCTTGGCCCTTATGCACCACTGGAGGTTTCTGTCCTCTGTGAACTCGCCTTAGGACACCCTTGTTACTGATTGACAGGTGTGCCGTCCCAGTCAAACTCCCCACCTGGCACTGTCCCCAGACAGGTCGTGCCCAGCCTGCGCAGCCCAGCGCTTGGCACCAGAAGCAAGAGCCCCTCAGGGCTCGCCCCTCACCCGCCTCACCAGGTCAGTGAAAAAACTATGAGTAGTGGTATTTCACCCAGGGCTGCAGGGCAGGAGGACCCGGCCCTGCCCCATGGACGGGCAGAGAGGCACCGGGTGGGGAGAGTTATGTTAGGAGAGGAAGCAGATTCTTGGAGGAGACACAGTAAAGAATGAGAGGGGTTGGTGGGGAGGGGAGGAGTGAAGGTTAAAGCAGCATGGAGTTTAGAGAGAATGTCCCGCCCTAACAAGGGGCGGCAGGCTGGTAACACTAGAAAAGACTGGAGAAAGATATAAGGGCTAAAGAACAAGTGAGTGTCTGGGTTGCCCTGGGTTGTGATATGTGGCCATCGATTTCCACAACTGAAACCCCAGAGCGTTGAAGAGGTCCCCTGAACTCGGGGAGGGCAGAGTAGGTTGCCTCAGTATCAATTAAAGATGAAATTGGCCTACCTGCTGCCATCAGAGTTACCCGAGGTTCGGAGTTTGAGGTGATGGTCAAGGCGTCCGTTCCTGGGCACCTTCTGTCTTCAGCTGCAAGGCCAATCAGATGCCCATTCCACCAGCCCAAAGAAAAGATGAGCACAGATCCTGTGCAGTCTGTCCGCAGTCCGACTTCCAGTGGGCCCTCCACATTGAGGACATGGCTTAGGCGGTGGCCGGGGGTTGGGACATTGTTACACCCAATGGTCAGTCTGATTGCACTTAAAGCTGGGCCTGGGGGTCCGCTCTGTTGATCCTGATGGGGCCCTTCTGTCCGCTGATGGAGGTTTGCTGACCCCTTTGATTAGTGGGGCTCTGATGGCAGAGGCAGGCATTTGGAATTCTGCTGTTCTTTGCTGTTTAGCCTCTTCATCGCAATTATTGAATGCCTTAAAAGCTAGATTTAGAAGTTCCTGTTGAGGGGTTTTAGGGCCATCTTCCAATTTTGTAACTTTCTCCTAATGTCTGGGGCTGTCTGAGAGATGAATCTCAGGTTTAAAGTGACAGTCCCTTCTGGGCTGGTAGGATCTAAGTTAATATATCTTCTCATAGCCTGTGTAAGGGGGATAGAAAGGTTGCAGGTTTTTCATTCTTTTCCTGACAGTTTTTCATAGTTAACTATTTTGTGTGAGGTTTTTTTAAGTCCCTCAGTGAAACATATTATCATGTGGTCCCTGGTTTTTCTACCCTCCCCATTGTCCTGATAATTCCACCTGGGGTCCTGGGTAGGGACTGCTTCAGTCCCTACGGGTTAGTGGGGGCCTGTCGCCATGGCCCTGGGCGTTAACCCAGACTCAATTTTGATCTTCCAGATTAAGGGTGGAAGAGAGAATAACATGAATATCATTGCAAGTTAGATCATAGGACTGGGTAATTGGTGGGATCCTCAGTAAAAGATCCTAGTCATTTATTTACTTGGAACAAATCCGAGAGGGAGATGGGGACATAAACTCTTACAATCCCTTCAGCTCCTTCAGGGGAATGGATAGAGACCAAGGATGGCTCCTGACTGTGCCTGTGAGGGAGTGTTTGTGACAGTAGAGAAGCTGGAGCCAGAGTAGGAGGTTCAGGGTAGGGTGGGGGCCAACAGGAGGGGCTGGAGAAGGAAGCCCTGCTGGAGGGGCTGAGGGAGGAGGTGGTGGAGAGAGACTGGCTGGGACAAAGAAGGAAACAGGATATGTCATCGCATCTTCAGAGGGAGGTTTGGGAGCATTAGAGTAGAGTAGGAAGATTTGGGAGGGAGAGAAAGAATCACATAAAGAGAGGTGTGATCTGAGTGCAAAGGGGCCTGGATGTAAGGAACCTCAGACCATTTTCCTTGCTTGTGACAGAAATTGTCTAGGTTGGTGAGAATGTCAAAAGTGCCGTTCTCAGGCTATGGTGACCCACTGTCTAATTTGTACTGAGGCCACACAGTGTTGCAGTTAACAATAAGTTGCTTGGGACGTAAGTCCTGAGCGAGCCCTAGGATTGTAGATTTTTTAGGAGACAACCTTAGGGTGTTGCACGAGGGGTAGTCAATTGCACGTTTCCCATGTTGCGGTGTGAGATGGTCTGACAAATACACTAGTGGAAGAAGAAGGTGTCCCCCCTTCTGCCCTAGAGTAGAGAGATGTGCATCCCTAGATATATGGTGAACTAAGGGAACCTGGTTCCCAAGGAGTGTGTCCTGACCAATGCTGGATTTTGGGAGGGATGATCACACAGACGAGACATGACCGAGAGACCTGGCTCTCTTATGTTCCAGACTGAGGATAACAGGACAGCCTGGAGAATCAGACCAGCAGGCAAAAAAATACACTCACCAATGAATTAGTGTCCAGTGTTGACACTCAGTCAGCAGGAAAGGTTGAAGGTCCAGTATCAGGCTGAGGATGTGATAGATCCCAGTCCAAAAGGAGGCCTGGAGAACTTGGGTGGTCCTTGGCTGCCCCCTATTTGGGATTCTCACAGATCCCAGGTTTCAGCATGAAATAAAATTTCGAACCTGGTGGGAGATCACATCCACAATGCAAGGACAATGCTGAGCAAAACGATTTTATTGCATGCAACTGTGTGCAGGTGGGCTGAGCCGAAAAAAGTTCAGCCTTGAATAATAGTTGGGGTGTAGGTTATATACTCTACTTCTAGCTTCCAGCAGTTCTGCTGATGTACTCTGCCGGGCTCATTGTCCACTTTGCAGTTGGACTGGTCTGGTGTCTTGTATTGCTTCGCCATAATCCAGATAATCACAGTTTCTGCCTTTTGCAAGATTTTACTTTTACTCTTGTAATAATCATATGCTCTGATTTAGGAAGGTTATAATCATCAAAAAATAAGAAGAAAAGTGTGGGCATCACATGAAAGCTAGAATACACTTTTTATTGATTTATAATTATTGCGAATAAAGTGTGTTATTTTACATGAGATGTCATGAAAAGAGAGGGGAGAGAAAAACACGTTAATAACTAATTTCCATATTGTTCATAGTGGAGTGACAATACCGAATGAGAGAAAAAAGGAAATATTATTGACTTTATACAGTTATTATACAAAAGTAAATATCTAAATAAAAGACTTTCTAAATAGAAAAATAAATGTTGAGTAAATAAATCAACCACGTTAGGGAATGTTATATAAAATGGTTGGCACAGAATAGAGGACATGCCTGTCAATCATATCTATATTAACAAATGAGCTTAATTCACCTATTAAGTAAAAATATTGACTAACCAGCAACCTATTTGATAACAGTTTGTTAAAAGGATTTAGATAAAATATGCTACATCCACCAGTGAGACAGAGAATGTGAATGCCATAAAAATGTGGATTATTCTAGTTCCCTAAAGTAACCGACTTCTTAAATCTTATATTCACTATCTCCTTTCTTCACTATATTTCACTATAAAGTATTTTTATTACCTGTATTACTCTACAATATATTTAAATTTTTAAATTGTTCATATATTGCATAGCATATTTTTACAAAAATTTAACCCCTGATTTCCCTTTCATTCCATCCAAATGTGCACTGCTTAGCCCTCATTAACTTGCTCATGTTTTTCACAGAGTGTACTTTCTCTTTGTACCATACCGGCACTACTTTTTGCTAAGGAATACATTTCTTTTGAAGTAGATATTATTTTTTGTTGCTTTTGGTGAGTTTTGAAGTCTGCTGAAGCATCTATGATGTTATTATTACATTTTGTATAATTGGAATATAGATATCTGATGATATAATTGCTGTTTCTGATTTTCTATACTTTGTAAACAATTAATAGAAATACTGTTTATCATAAAGGTTTTGTTTATGGGTTTTTGTTTTTGTTTTGGTTTTCTTTACAGATTCTTCTTTTAATTCCTAGGTCATTAGTGGAGTTCTAGATAACATTTAATTTTAATGCTTATATCTGGATATATTTCTTCCTTTAAATCAGATCTACAAATGGTAAGACCAAACAAATATATTCTTTCTAATAATTTTCTCAATAATTTTTGGAAGTGGGTATACTTATTATTATTTATCAATATTAAAATGTGCCACAGAGAATGGGTTTATGTTAAAGAATGCAATTACTGTCTCAAAAACTAGGAGTAATATTACATACAAATTCTAAAGGAAAAGAACAAGTTAGCAAGGCACATCTGCCTCAATAGGTTATATTTGTGAATCTGTAAAGTTTGTTTTTAGGTTACTAAACTCAGTATATTTGATGATATTAAAAAACAAGAACATCGGCATCTTCTGGTTTCTGGTTTCGTTCCTATTTAGGAAGATAACACAACACTCAATGAGACACGGGCATTGGAACATGTTGATACATGGACTTATACATTTTCATCTTATAAGAGCATTTGCAAATGACTCCAATGAAAGCATGTGTTGGGGTTTAGTCCATTTATTTTGCTCATTGCCCGTCGAATACTTGTTCAGCTTTCAAAACTCAGATGAAGTATCGCCTCTTCATAAAGTTTCTTCTGACTCTTCCTAAATAGACTAGACCTTTTTTTCTGTGAAAAGTACTGTATTGTTGCACTTTGATATCCTATTGCCTATGTTTATTGGCATAACTGCATTTTTTTACTAGATAATAAAAGTTCCTTGAATATAGAAACTTATTCATCTTTATGTCTTCCGCATTTAGTACTGTGTTATTTAACTATTCAGTAAATGTGCATTCAATTAAATAATGAATGTATAGGAAGCAATCTCTAGCTAGAAGAGCCATATCGATATGGTTTTTGCACGGTTCCAGCAACCTAAGAAATTGTGTGCTTAAACATTTTTGCATCAAAGCAAGGT